TTAAGGCTACTTTACCCAGTGAAGACATCATACTTTTTTACCAAAGGTTCAGTTATGTCTAAAAAATTGGGGGATCTATTTGGAATAATAAGTGGACATTCCCAGTGCCCTCTCAAAAGATACTACATTCATAGGTGGTGGTAATTCTTGAAGTGGACGCATCCTCTTGGGATCAGACTACAGTATCATTCTCTAGACAATAGTCAAGTTCATTGGAGGATAATGATTGTACAATGTAGCAGTAGTATGGATGGCAGGTAATATCACATATCTTCTTGGCAGTGTAGACAGTAGCTACTGTGTGATTCCCATGGACTAGTTCTTCTTTTGTCTGGGGTTGCATCATTGTGTGCACTTAGTACTGAGTGAGCATCAGCAATACACTGGGCCAGGTCATGTATGCTTGATTGAAGGCACTCTGTAAATCCAGTCTCTTGTTCTCTGGAGGACTTTGATGATTGAGTGGTGAGGAAATACTATTGATGAAAGCATTGTGGATCAGTACTTCACAATACTCTTCACAGTAACTAGTTTCAAATTAATCTTTTCTGAGTTGCAGAGTTTTCTCAGAAACACATCAAAGGCCTCATTAGGCTGCTGCTGTGTAGCTAAAAGGTGTCTAGTAAATATTTAATTGGGAGTTTTCACATACAATGTATCATAGATACAGTATGATCATACACTCCTAAGGTTATACACTCCTTGATAAACATCACACAGTATGTGATATTGTTCACCAGAGCTCAAAGTTTGTCAGGAGCATTTTCTTCACACTTCACAATATTTACAAACATGTGATGTAAACATGTTTGTAAACTGTTCTTATATATATGCTTGCACTCTGTGGCTGCTGTAGGAGAGTCAGGATCAGTATCCAGATGTATGGGTCTTGGTAGTTGGTCCACGGTAGGCTTGTCTGATCAATAGTCTCCGTGGTGTAGTGGTAAGACACTCGCCTGGCGTTCCGCGAGCGCTATGTCATGGGTTCGTATCCTGGCTGGGGAGGATTTACTGGGCGCAATTCCTTAACTGTAGCCTCTGTTTAACGCAACAGTAAAATGTGTACTTGGATGAAAAAACGATTCTTCGCGGCAGGGGATCGTATTCCAGGGACCATAGGATTAAGGACTTGCCCGAAACGCTACGCGTACTAGTGGCTGTACAAGAATGTAACAACTCTTGTATATATCTCAAAAAAAAAAAAAAAAAAAAAATAAGGCCAACAGGTTAAGCATGAAGACGGTGGCTCCAACCTTCAATTTTCTTTGTATGAATTAAAGATACCAAAGGTCAGTATAGTTATGTGTTGAGATCTTGTGTTGAGAACAACTTACCAAGCTCATGTCAGATAGTGTATATCGTAAACAGAGTTTATTAAATCTGGATTGTAGCATTCGGATGTGTTATTGAATCCTAATCAACACAATTTAATGAACTCTGTTTACTTCAAGCTACAGTATCTGAAATGAGAGAAAACAAATGTTTTGGTAATCTTTCAAAAGGTAAGTACAATTATCATAATAATGAATCTTACAAACAAGAACAAATGTTACTTATAATACTTAGAAATATCACACTGTTAGGCAGAAAATGTTATGTACTTGATAAACAATATTCTGTACATGCAGTGTGATTAATAATAGTAAAACAGTGTCAAATGTTTAACTTAAATATCCTCAGGTATTTTTGTTTGTCATATGTTGTGCTTCCTGCATTGAAAACATATTGGTGCAGCCATTTTGTTAAGTAACCTATTTATTAATTTGAAGACAAATTGCAAGTAGAATTCCAGGAGGTTGAGGAATCACAAAATTAATTGAGGAAATAGTAATTGTTAAAGAAAATAGATGTAACATTCCTTGTAGGATAATGCGAACTGAAATTAACAGCCAAGTGCAACATTATAACATTACAAAATAATGCACTAAAGTTTATTTATTTTACTAAAAGTAGTTTTATTTTACTAAAAGTAGTTTAGCACAATATAGGTTTACCATGAATTTGTTAAAAAAAAAAAAAAAAGTGATGCTGAAACATTAAAATATTGTAGTGTATAGTACAGTATTGCCACTTGCATGATGTAATTACTTTTGTTTGCATGAGAAATGTACTAAATGTGAAGTATTGTTCGACATTTGTTGAGGTCATCTCCCAAAAGTTTTGAGTGTCCCTGTTTGGATGGCATCACTAGGGTGCCTCTCTCTTGGTCAGGGTTCAAAGATGAGGAAATGTGAGCAGAAATGAGCATCCAATTACTACACAGGTAAGTAAACCATTTTTGGTTAAACTAAAGACTCTAGAAGCTTGCTTGGGAGTATAGTACAGTATTGGCAGTTCATGATTAAGGTCATACCTCAAGAGAGCTTTTGTCAATATTAATTGTGTAGTTTCCATTCGTTTTTTTAATTTTTACTGTTTTTATGAAGTCTGGAGTCACAAATCCTTGTTGCTTGAAATTAATAGTTTTCCACAACAACTGAAGCAAACTAACCATTACAATTAATCAAAGTTTGTAAAACATATATGAACACAAATGTTATTTCCCAACTGCATACATGTATAATGCATTATTTGGATATCTAAAATGAGTGATCACAGCAGCAGCATCTGTAAGCACTGCACATGATTTTGCGTCTCTTAATTTCAAGTTGACTCATGACTTAAGTCAATTTTCCCAGCCAGCCGCCCTTCTCCTCACCTATGAGCCACACTAGGGGGAGCTGTGGACACACTATATCTTCTCTTGGCTTGATACCATTCCTCTGGTATTACTGTCTTTGGGAAATGGTTACTTTTATAATAAATAGGTATAATAAGAACAAATCCACTAGGGCCGTGACGAGGATTCAAACCTGCGTCCGGGAGCATCCCAGATACTGCCTTAATCGATTACGGCAGTGTCTGGGATGCTCCCGGACGCAGGTTCGAATCCTCGTCATGGCCCTAGTGGATTTGTTCATTTGATGCATCAAGTTAGAGTGATCTCTGTGTGTAGGTATGATACATTTTAATAAAAATATAATTATATCAGTCATAGTTTGAAAGGTAACTGTGTGAGAATGTACTGATGAACATATAATAACCCTAGTTTTTAATGGATTTTTACTCCATTAAAGATGAGAAATTCTTAGGAAAACACATTACTTCAGTGCAAACATTCAGTAATTGTATGAAATGTGAAAATTATGTAAAAAGCATCTTTAATGAAATGCTGTATTTACAAGCATGATCTAAATACCCTAAGGAATGGCCAGATTGTGTGTGTAACCCCTGTTCCTCTTGTAAACATTCCTGATACGCTAGTTATCTATCTTGCCTTCCCGGTTTGGCGCCTTCTTTTGATAATTACTTACTTACTTAGTTATCTATCTTATCAAAATTATTGATTTGAAGATGTGATAATTATATTACAAAATGCAGCATTCATAACTTTTTGTAATCATGGAAAGCTGTAAACTTTTCATTAAATGGTAGTTCAATATAATCTCTTTGCTGTCTTTAATGTTGATATAATTATAATGGGATAATTTTTGTAACATTTGCTTACACATCGATACAAAATTAGGCAACATATCTTGGAACTCAATACAATATTTAATAAACCAAGCTAAATGTCTTGCATTGCTTCATTATTTAATATGTAATTTCTATTTTCCCATCATTTAATGGAGCTTCATTTTCACAGCCTGGCTTCTGTAGCCAAATTACAGTATATACAAAATTTATTAAAGTAAAAAGATGAGCAGTGTTGATCAATGCATTTTGGTGTGTAGTCCTGCATCATGCAGGTGTATACATCATATCTCACCTTTCATCAGCGGAGGTCGTTGTAGTACAGTCAAGTTCATTCTCGACTCTCAGTTGGGAATCCCGGGTTTGAAATCTGGATGGGACAGAAATGTTTGGGCATGTTTCTTTTCACCTAATGAATCTGTTCATCTAGCAGTAAATAGGTACCCAGAATAGGTACAAATTATCTTATTAATCTAAGACTTTGCTAGTCTCATTTCTTTAACCCTTAGACAACGGCGATTTGAGAAATGGTCATACATTAAAATGGTCTATGCATTAAAAAAAAAAAATATAGAATTATTTCTCTGCAAAATGTAAAAAAGAACTGAAAATAAGTGAATATATTTTCATGTTTTTTCAAGTTCCTCCGAGGTGGAGACGCTCTGCCAGGATATAATAGCTCTCTATATCCACAGAGCTAATGCAGTATATTCATATTTGCATCATACATGTAAAACCCAGACAATAATTGTCTAAATCTTCATATGATAATTGCATTACCCTGTCAATCAATAATTAATGGTGTCTGCAACCTAAGAATTAAACAATGAGAAATGAATTAATATATATAGTTATTTTTTTTTAAGAGGGATATGGATGGGATGTAAGAGATTGAAGACTCGCAGCTGTGTGAACATGTGTGAGCCATTGATGTTTGCAGTAGTGTTAGGCAGTTGGCAAATTTTGTTTAGCATTGGTTGGTTAAAGTTGCTCTTTTCGCTAATACTGTACTGTATATTGAGGGTCTCGGCAATACAATGGCTACAATCTCAAATCAAAATGGAGGGTCCCAGATTCGATCACTGGGTGAGACAAAAATTGTTGGGTATGTTTCTCTTCGCCTAATGCCTCTGTTCACATATCAGTGAATAGGTACCCTGGAGTTATGCAACTGTTGTAGGGTTACATCCAGTGGAGGGTCAGTAGTTTGACCTTGGTGGGGAGGATGACCTCGATACAATCCTAAAGTATATGTATACACACAGACTAACTTCCTCTGACAAAATGAATTAATAATTAAATTATATTACAGGAGAGTTGAACCAGGACTTTCAGCAAAGTAAAGTAATTAATCCTTATTTAGTGAATGCTGTTCAAATTTTCCTTATTGCATGATTATTTCATAACTATTTTTGTCATTAAGTTGTAGAGTACAGAGAAAACTACAGTTCTACAAATAGTTTTTAATCATATCTTAACCCTGGCAGACAACTAAATCACCGCATCATGGAATTGGAAAGTGAGGTAGAGGAAGCCAAAGCTACAACAGCTGTGGTAACCCCGATGGCAGTGGCTGCAGCATCCAAGACTTTTGAAGGCTCATCAGTCAGGCCAGTCAGTGCAGAGGCCAGGAGGATAGTTGAACTGGAAAGGAAACTAACAGAACAATGTGAGTACTGTACGCATTTATGATTATATTGTATGTGCCATGTAATAAAGTGAATCGGTTTTTGTTTATTCCAGCACACAACTACCGGTAAACAGGACCAAAATTTGGAATGTAGACATAGCCTCCCTCCTGTGGATATAATAATTAAATAAATGACACATTTGGCCTTTAACCCCTCAACTGCGCCAGCCAACAAATGTCATTTTGAGAGTTGTCCTTTTTTTTTAATTAGGCTATATTTTAATGTTTTGTAATATTTTCATTACTCTTTGTGTTTTGAAATGAAAATAGTTTAGTTTAGAAACATTTTCACATTAACCTTACCTGAACACTTATAAAAACAATAAAAATTATGTTCGTAACAACTGCACTTTGATGTTTTTGCCCAAAACAGGTGGGCAGTGCTGGGGTTAATAACTGGGTTCTCAGAGGACTTGCAGTTGTTCCTGCAGTTGCACATTCAGTTCCCAAAGTTCTCAAGTAGACACTGACATGCCAATGGCTAAGATAATGATGACAAGTAATCTCTTCCACTAGGATATTGTCCTAGTGAAGGGTCCTACATGCAAAATACAATGAAGACCTTGCACATGAGTGCACAGGCATCCTGTGCATTTGAGTGTAAACCAGGTGATGAATCCCTTGGGGGGGGGGTTCTTTTCATCTGCTTGAAATCACAATTTTCCTGTGTATTTGGTGCTATTCGGTGTTTATGATGTATTTTAACAAAATCTTAGGGTTTCCTCTTATTGCCTGTAAAAGTTGGCCTATGTTCTCCAGTAGTTATTTTTCTTCATCGGCTCAGAAATAGCATACCTTACTGTACAGTAGTAAAAATTGGGTACACAAATGTGAATGGCATTACAAATAAAGGGATAGAACTGTAAGAATAGGTGACATCCTCATATTATTGCAGTTCGGTAGATGACTGACAAACATAATAGAGGATGTAAACTTTCCCAGGAGAATACCAGGTAGTAAAAATTAAAGGATTAAGAGGGGGAGGGGGGAGTATTAGTCCTGATACATTGGAGCTTCGAGGAAAGAGAGATTTCAGAGGTAACCTACCAGCAAAACATTATACCTGTACTAGGTATACTGTGGAGGACCATGATGATAGTGGTTGGCATTATTTATAACCCTCCATTAAATACAGAATGGTAAAGTGAGGAATTATAAATGCGACAAAACATGCCTGAAGATAACAGAAAAAAGCAGCTGCAGTGGCAAGAAGAATTAGAGCAAAGATCCTAGTACAGTACTTTGGGATTTTAATCACAGGTCATCAAAGAATCATCACAACAGTGATGAAACATTTAGTGAGATTAGTGGGCACAACAAACAAATATGTTCCTTGTGGCAACATAACAAAGAGCTGATAAGAGAGAAGGGTTGCGAACTCACCAGGTACCCTAAACCTAATATTTACCCAAGATGAAATTATAGAAAACTTATCATATGAGGTTCCACTAGGAGCCAGTATCCAATGCATTATCATGATTGCTAACACTGTAAAACTGAAATATAGTGTCTGATCAGAAAACAGGATAAATAGTGAAAGAAAATGCACAAGACTACAGAAGAAAATGCACAAGGGGGTTAGGCCTATCTGCAGGATGTTCAGTGTGATACTGAAATGGAAGGACCAGACATAATTTTCTGTAGGAGACACCTGGAGAAACAATGTAGCAAAAGCAGTAAGATCAGAGCAGATATCACCATGGTTACTGAAGAAAGCTGCAGGGATTGTTTGTTATCCATTAAATAGAATGTTTAATATTATTCTAGAGACAGGAGAGCCATCAGAAATCTGGAAAAAGTCAAATGTAGTTCCCATATTTCAGGGAGCAGACATGAAGCACCAAACTATAGACCATGCATTTTACTTGCCATAAAATGCTGGTAAGTTATTAGAAAAAAATGTCATAATTATGGAGTACGTCTTATAATACAACACAACTTCAGAGGGAAAATCATGCTTACCAAACTTAATTGATTTATATGACAGGATCACCAAAATAAGAAAAGAAAAGAGAAGGAAGGATGGGTAGACTGCATTTTCCTTGCCTGACATATAGAAAGCTCTTCCTTGCCTGACAAATAGAAAGTTCTTCCTTGCCTGACAAATAGAAAGCTTTTGATACAAAAGACTAATACACAAGATGAAGAGACAAGTTGGGATAACAGGAAAGTTACCGTGCTGATTAAGGGCGGACCTTACAGATAGAAAATAGGCATAATCAAAGAGGATGTGTCAGGCTGAAGAGGAGTGAAAAATGATGTTTCACAGAGCTCTGTCCTAAGACCATTCTTTTAAATGTAAATGACACCAGAGAAATTGAGTTGGTATGTCAATGTTTGCAGATGATGCAAAGTTAATGAGGAGAGAGAGAGAGAACTGAAAAAGAATATAAAGTGCTTCAGGAAGACCTTGGCAGTGGGTAGATAAATGACTGCTGGGATTAAATGCACATAAGTGTAGTGAAGATGGGAAAGGGAGAGAGGATACTTGCAATTACACCTCATGAAGAAGGGAAAAGACAAAATAAGAGAAAAAGATCTGGAGAAGATATAATCCCAACATTAACACCAGAAATTTATGTAACTAGTATAATATCAGCAGCATATTAGAAGTTAGTAAATATAAGAACATCATTTAAGAATCTAAACTAGGAAGCTTTAAAGTCCATATACACTGTCTATGTGAGAACATTATTGCAGTATACAGCACCAGCATGGAACCCTGCAACTTGTGAAGCACAAAAAGCTCCAGAAAGTTCAGAGGTATATATGAAAATCAAGATAGCTACAATCTGTGATTGTGTTTATCTGGACATAGAAAAAGTCTTTTGGTAGTCCTACACAAGAGGTTGTTCTGGAAACGAACTTGCTAGAGAGGTGACAGACAGAAGACTTATATGGATGAAAATTTTTCTGACAGAAAGATAAGGGTTGTAATCAGAACAATGTATCAGGCTGGAGAAGTGTTACTAATGGAGTACCATAGGATTGACTTTTTGCACCATTAATGTTAATCATTTATATAAACAATCTACCAGTAGGAATGCAGAAGTTTGAACATGTTTGATGATGATGCTAAGCTACTAGAGATGATAAGAGACTTAGACTATTGTCATGCCCTTTTAAGATGACCTGGACAGAATTAGTGTATGGAGCAACACTTGACAAATGGAATGCAATGTGAATAAATGCTGCATTATGGAATGTCGATAGGAGAAAATAGGACCCACACAACCCACGAATTATGTGGAAAGACTCTAAAGAACTCAGACTTAAAGATATAGGTGTGGTTCAGGATAGTAAACTGTCACCAGAGGAACACAAAAGATATTGTGCAAGGAGCAAATGTTACTTTCCAATTCAGAATTTATCTTTAAATACATGGAGGGTCAAATAATAAAGAAATTGTTCACAACTTTTATGAGACCAAACTTAGAATATGCAGTGGTTGTATTGCGCCCATTTCTCAAGAAACACATCAGTAAACTGGAAAAGGTTCAAAGGCATGCTACAAATTGGTTTCCAGAACTGAAAAACAAGAGCTACGAGGAGAGGCTAGAGGTGTTAAATATCTAAAACTAGAAGATACAACAAAGAAAGGATATGATTACTACATAGAAAATAGTAACAGGAATCAACAAAATTGATTAAGAGGAATTCTTGAAACTGGCAACTTCATGAATGAAAAGATCTTAGTTTCAAGCTAAGGAAACAAAGGTGCTGGAAAAATGATCGATCCCTTTTGCAAACACGTTGGTTGGAACAAGTTAAGCAAGATGGTGGTGGAGGACAAAATCATCAATGGTTTCAAAGCTTCATATGACACACAGAGTTCTGTAAAGATGGGACACCACTAGTGTAGCTCTCATCTTGTAACTATACTTGAATAATTACATTGAGGGGAAAGTGCCCTCACAACCTTAAAAAAGAAAAGAAAAAGAAGAATATGATCACTACATAGAAGATTGTGAGATGGAATAAACAATATGGACAAAAGAAGCCTATTTAAATTAAAAAAAAGATAGGCCAAGAGGATGTTAGTGGCAACTGGACCAGTAATTTAGTCTTAGATGTAAGACAATTCTTGTACCATGTATGGGTGGTTGGTAAGTGGAATGTATTAAAGGAAGAGGAGGTTAAAACCATGTTCAATCACAAATTTAAGAAAATATATTATGGAACTTGAATGTTGGGAAATGTGCTTGGTACCAGGTATAAAGAATATTTTGGAGGCAGGCTATAGTTAATCTCGCTTCTCAGTAGTCACCAACACTAGCACGACCCGTAAAGAATGTTATGAAATCATGATTATTGTGACAGTGTAGAGTGCCACCCTGCCCTGGATACCACAAACCTGTCCATGGTACATTCAGTGAGCGTGCTTTAGGAAGCAATCCAAGTGTCATATTGAGAATGGTGCTTTTCATGTTTACTCAGTCTGGTATTTTATTTATCCCTTCAGCATCAATGTACCCAAAGTATTTTTAGCTTAATGTTTTCCTCTCTAAGTATGCAGAATTTTTTCCATAGTTTTTTTTTTATTTCAGGTGATAAGATTACATCCCTAGAGGAGAGCTTGTCAAAGAAGGAAAATGAGATGGGAGCCATGGAGGAGCGATACAAGAAGTACCTTGGTAAAGCCAAGTCAGTCATCAAGACTCTTGACCCGAAGCATAACCCAGCTCTTGTGCCTGATGTATCAAATCTAAGATCTACCATTCATGAGAAAGAGAGGATCATAGAAAATTTAGAGGTATTGTAATGAAGAAAAAAAGTTTTGTAAAATAATTTCAGTTATTTATCCTCATTTAACAAATGACTATTTAAGAGTCCCAATAAATAAATTAGAATTGAATACAATAACTGAAAGAAACATTTGAAATATATTTTTGTTTATATGTAGTAGGTCCTCAGATCTGCATAATTAGGTTCAGTCTGCTCTCGGTTTTATGCAAGTATACATTTCAGATATATGTGAGTTTCATCTGTGTATATCTAGGACTTTGTTGAGATTCAAATGGGGAATATTGAATTAATTTTCAGATCAAGAATTTTGTTACATTAAAAAATTACAGTATGTATTGCAGAATAAATAAAATGGTGAATATAATGAAGCTCACCATTATGGGGGCCCCTGCAATGGGTTCCAAGAGCTGACACTCTAGAGCCTATACCATCTCACCAGGCACCTTACACTTTCTCATTGTCTATTGGGAGCAGGGATCAGGATCCTGTCCTTAGAGGGAAAACCCTGTCAAAAAGACTAAAAGACAGCCAATAAAACTCAAACTGCTGGAGGGAGCCGGTTGGCCAAGCGGACAGCACGCTGGACTTGTGATCCTGTGGTCCTGGGTTCGATCCCAGGCGCCGGCGAGAAACAATGGGCAGAGTTTCTTTCACCCTATGCCCCTGTTACCTAGCAGTAAAATAGGTATCTGGGTGTTAGTCAGCTGTCACAGGCTGCTTCCTGGGGGGGGGTGGCCTGGTCGAGGAACGGGCCGTGGGGACACTAAAAAAAAGCCCTGAAATCATCTCAAGATAACCTCAAGATAGCCCTTGAAGTGTAGGTCTCACCATATAGTGATTCATGGGCCAATATGGTTACTGTATCATCAAATGTTTATTTATGATGATGATGTCTGGATTTTATACCCATGATGCTAATATGAATATAATACCTTATGTAATTACCTAAGTGTAATTACATAAGTGTAGTTACAGGATGAGAGCTATGCTTGTGGTGTCCTGTCTTCCCAGCACTCTTTTTGTTGAGATGGTTTTGGCCTTTACCCGCCATCACTCTTGTTTCAACGGTCTACCACTCTGCTTGTGAAAGCGATTTTTCATGTATTTCATCAGTAGCTTTGTTTACTTAGTTTAAATCTATGACCTTTTGTTCTTGAAGTTCCAGTTCACAAGAATTCTTCCTTATCAATTTGTTCAATTCTGTTACTATTTTGTACATGGTGATCATATTGCCTCTCTTTCTTTTGTCTTCTAGTTCTAGCATATTTAATGCCTCTAACCTCTCCATGTAGCTCTTGTCTTTCAGTTCTGGAAGCCATTTAGTTGCATGTCTGCACCTTTTCCAGTTTATTGATGTGCTTCTTAAGATATGGGCACCATACAACTGCTGCATATTTGGTTTTACAAAGATTGTGAACAATTTCTTTAGTATTTCACCATTCATGTATTTAAAAGCAATTCTGAAATTGGAAAGCATAGCCTAGGCTCCTTGTGCAATGTTCTTTATGTTGTCCTCAAGTGAGTTTTTTGTTTTTTATCTAGAACCACCCCTAGATCTCTCTCTCTCTCTCTCTCTGAATTTTAAAAGCTTTTTCACATAATTTGTAGGCTGTGAGTGGTTTATTCTCTCCTATTCCACATTCCATAACATGACATTTAGTCACATTAAATTCCATTTGTCAAGTGGGGCTCCATGCACTAATTTTGTCCAGGTCTTCTTGAAGGGCATGACAATTGTCTACATTGCTTATCTTCCCTAGTATCTTAGCATCATCAGCAAACATGTTCATATAATTCTGTATTTCTTCTGATAGGTTATTTATTTAGACAATTAACATTACTGGTGCAAGAACTGAACCCTGTACTCACCTATTTGTACTCGCCTATTTGTGCCTGCAGGCTCGAGCATTGGCTCTTGGATCCTGCCTTTCTAGCCTTCGGTTGTTTAACCACTGTACTGCGCCGAGTTTATTGTGAAATTTCCGCGGTGTGCATGCAATAAAGTGTTCCCAAAAAATTCTTTTTTCTTCATAAAATGATTAATTCCCTTTTCTGAACATGTCTATGTAAAAATAAATACCAAATTCCACTTACTTTGGCTGTGGGGACGTGGACAAGGTGCGCTGGGACATCATCAGGGCCTGGTCGCCGGTGCGTGAATCGCCCAGACATGGTCATGCGGGCCATCCAAGCACCAGGTGTTGCCACAAATATATTTTCAATTATTTGTTTTATGTATTTCCAATGCGGTTTTATTATTTTTTTTTTATCGTATATGATACATATTTGTGTCCTTTACAATATGTATAAAGTAGAACATTCATAATGCTCCCTGAAACTGTGATACATGTGTCAGTAATGTGTCCACAATAAATGTTTATTGTTGCAATATTACCAGTTAAAAATTCACTAAAATTACAATATATACAGTTTCACACACTGTTTACACAGTAACACACTGTATTACACACTCAGTACTTCGGAAGTGAGTAATAATCAACGAAGTAGCCCATGGTACACAGTGCGACTTCGCTCTCAGTGCACAAGGTACAGATAAATTTTCGCTTCCTGTTTCTTCATTCTGTGTGCTTGCAAATAATACACTCACGTACACTCTTGGTGTACGTGAGTGCGCTTTAGTACTTGTAGGCTTTAGTACTTGTAGGTTGTATGTAGCCAAGCTTGTAAAGCATAAAGTAGTATTGAAAAGATTATAGGAAAAGATCAATTTGTAAGGTAGTCTTGAAAAGATCACTTTGTATATTCCCACACAGGAAGAGATTCGGCTTACCTCAAGAGTGTCCGTCAGTTAGGAAGAGATTCGGGTATTCTTGAAAATATCTATAGAAAACACCACCATGGAAGCCGCTAACACTGTTCATCTATGCTATTTGTATCAAATGCATCATCACTGAACACAGAAAACAATTCATCTATGTATCATCTAAATAAATTGTAGATAGCATAGGATTGCAAGGGTGACGCTCAGCTACAACTGGATACGCTCGCTGTATCATCCTCATAGGTGCTGTATCACTTTCATCCGACCTTTGTGTTAGGTCCTTTTTGCGCCTAGCTTCACCAATATTATGACCCTTATGTTCTTGAAACAATAGGGTTTGAATTTCACCGACAGAGCGTTATCTTTCAACACCGTGTCGGACAGGTGTTTGGGAGCCAGAGGCGCTTGCGCCACCCATGGTTGCTCATTCAGTACTAACCCAGCCAGCAGCCCTAGGGCATTCTGGGAATTTTTTCCAAGATGGCTGCCTCTCACTGGAGGTCCTAAAAAGTCCATTTCGTACACAACCAACCTTGTACACATTTAGAATTGGTACCGAAAAATCAGAGTTTTCTCAGTTGGCGCAGTTTCCCGCCGACCGAGAATACTCGGTTGGCGCAGTTAAGTGGTTAAAGCAATGACTCCTGTCCTCCTTCTCTTATACCTAGTTTTAAAGCTGTGAATAGTGTTTTTTTCCACAATGTGCTCCTTTATTTCATTCCATTTCCCCACTACTCTCATGCTAAAAGAAAACTTTCTAGCATCTCTATTACTCATCTGAGTTTCCAGCTTCCACCCATGTCCCCTTGTTCTGTTGGTATTCTGTCTGAACATTTCTTTTATTTCCACTCTGTTAATCCCCCTAAGTATTTTGTATGCTGCTATCATATCTCCCCACTACCTTCTTTTTTCTAACAGGTTCAGTTCCTTCAATCCCTCTTCATATGCATGTCCCTCTTCATATCCATGCAACTCCGGGACTAGCCTCATCGCAAATTGTTTAACCTTTATCAGTTTCCTAATGTGTTCCTTTACGTGGGGGCTCCATGATGGGGCTGTGGTACTGCACTCATAACATTTCTCCAATCCAACACATTGCCTCTGATTACTGCCCTCTTTTCTCTGTCAGAAAATTTTCCATCTATGTTATAAGCCTTCCTGTCCCTCCTCCAGTATGTTCCAGTTTCCAGGACAGCCACTTTTGTGGGACTCAAAAAACATTTTTAGGTACAGATAAATGCAGTCAAACCCAACCATCTCTTTCCTGTAAAATCTCTGACTTTATCATAGAAACTAAGTAGATTTGTTCCACACGCTCTTCCAGATTGAAAACCATACTGTCTGTTATTATCATTTTTTTCCATGTGTTCTACCCATTTGGTTTTAATAATTTTTCCAATATTTGGACTACAGTACTATACTTGTCAGAGATACAGGTCTATAATTAAGAGGGTCTTTCCTGCTGCCAATTTTGTAGATTGGAGCTGTTACCCTTTTTCCATATATCTGCTAGGACTCCTGTACACAGAGTTAACTGAAAACTCAATTTCAAGGAAATGCTGATCTCGCATGTGCATTCTCCCAGAACCCATAGTGAAACTCCATGTGGGGCAACTGCTTTGTTCCTACTTAGCTTCTTGAGTTCTTTTGTGAAGTTGTAATTCTTATTGTGTCTGGTTGACAAAAAATTTGTTTTGCTAAAAACTCTTTGGAACCGTTTGTTTAATGTTCACACATATCCTTTTCATTTTCTGTGAATCTCTCTCCCATTTTCAACTTCTGAATTTTATCCTTTACTTGCAATTTGCTTTTAATGAATTAATAGAATAGGCTTGGTTCTGCTTTACATGTGTCCACTACTATATTCCTTTCTCACTTTTTTTTTTTTTGAGGCTTACAAATCTACAGGTCCAAAAGTCCTCTATTCTTGCTTCATAGGCCTTCCAGTCTATGGATTTCAAGAAGTCACCGAGTACCAACATTCATGATCAATCTTGCTCCACTCTTACTATAATATTTCTCGTGATTGTTACGAGGCCTTCTTATTTGTTGTCCAGCTTCTCCTTTGTCTGTGTTGCATACCGGTGGACTGTAGGCATTCATGATTACCAATTTATCATCCTGATTACAAAACTCCAGTGCCATTATGTCCACTTCTTGTGGGTTGGCAGTCATTAATTCCTTTACCTTCAGGTGTTCTTTCACCAGTACAGCAACGCCTCTGCCTTTCCTGAATTTTCTGTCTCGTCTTCATATTATGAGAGTCATTTGTGGAGTAGTTTGGCAGTTTCAAGACTTTGTTTTTTGTGAACACTCCAGTTGCCTGTAAAACTTTACTGACTCTCTGGATGCTTTCCCATTTTGGGTAGAGAATTGTTACTCGTTCCCTGCACCTCTGTAAGGGAGAGCCAGGTTCTGGCTCTCCCTTACAGAGGTGCAGGGAACCTCTGTAAGGGAACCTCTTACTCCCTGGCTTGCTGGTAGGCCAAATAGAACTCCTGCATTTGATGTAACCCATTAGAATGGAGGAATCTCTGTGAGACAGCTTCAGGGAACAACCAGAGAACTTTCCCAGAAAGTTCAGATACTGTAAATAACAATAAACAAATGGGATGGGAGTCATTACATGAGGCATAGAACAATCGGTCAGCCAGGCAGTCACACAGCCTTGTACATTTATACTAACTTTTAAGTGAAAAAGCTTTCACACATATTTCTGTACAAGCCAATTTAGTTTACCGTGCATTTTTCACAATGTATTGTCAATAAGAAATTCTATTTTACGTCACTGTACGATACGTGTGTCATTCAACGTTAAAGATTTAAAAATTCTTGTTCTCAAATGCATCCTGTTTTTCCACAAGATCCTTAACAAATTTCAAAGGGCATTGGTAAGATAAAATGTGTATGGCAATAGATCCTAGCACAAAAACCTGGAACCTGTTGTAAATACAGTACTGTATTTTAATATTGTATAAAAAAAATGCAAATTTTTGTTTTTTAGTTGGAAAGAATAATAGCACTCATTAGCTTCTATGTGTGACATTAAATTGTTTATCTATTGATGTATGTTGTGCGCTTGGGTTTCTTAAATACAGTATGTTGTCATATTTCAGCGAGAGTCAGAAAAAACAAAGATGATCCGTGACATGGAAGAAAAACTTATCACCACAGCCTTCTATAATTTTGTAAGTTATAAAACCTTGAAAATATGTATAGGAATTAATAATTATTTTGTAAATTTTTCATTTGTTGTCTCTCATTTATGTAATGTATAATCATGATGCCTTACTCTCTCTCCTGAGAGCTCTCCCTCCATTAACCCTCAATCTCTGGGCTACACAGCTATTAATTCCTGACAACCTCCCAGTGTACACTGCTACTCAATTCAATAGTTTCTTCTCTGTTGGTATATCCTATGAAAATGAAATCCCTGATTTCCAAACTAATGGAATTACAGTACTGTACTACCTCTCTGGTAGCTGTCCTGAGTGTGTGTACTTATCCCCAACAAACTCCACAGGAGTCAATGATATAATCCTCTCCTTAAATGTAAATCAAGTAACCTTTTTGAGATACCAAGTCTAATTTATATAAAAAATCTTTAAGATTTGTTGCTCCTGCCATTGCATTACTCTTAAATTGGAGAGGCGCTAAGAGCCCCATCAGAATAGGCCTTATTACATTCAATACATAAGTTTTGGTCTTAGATGGGTTCCTCAAATTAGTTCAGGTAAATTTACTATTTTATATTAAGGCCACTCGTAGAACATAATTAATATAGTGAATAATTATTTGATAGGTTGTAAATTTATTTTGAGCTTTTCAAGACAAATTTTTTCCTCGGCAATTTGAAAATACAGTACAAGTATTATTGAAAACTTACTCCAGATTGCTAAGGTGAAGCCAAATTTTTTAGGCAGTTTGTTCCATGCTCGTTAATTTTGTTAGAGAACTGCAAAGGGATTTAGTTTACTTAATTATTTAGGGTTCTTCATTCTTCTCTGTTGAAAATAAGTTACTTTAGTCTTCAATAACATATACTGATAGCTCTGGCTAATGCACCAGCCTGTTCTCTCAATTTACAACTATAAAAAATGCAGCTATTTTGCCTAACAAGAAACATAAAAAGTCTGGTAACCCAACTAACCCATCGAGGCCAATGCATAGAAAAACTGTGATCGTGCTTTAAGTTTTACTAATATTGTTCTGTACATTGCATTTTTAACGGAATGCTAGACTGTAAAAATGGGACATATTAGGTGAGAGAGAGAGTTGACATTACTGGATCTTGAAAAAATGTAGAGTTATCTGTTTTTTTTAATTTAAAAAATATGGTGTCTGATATACAGTACAGCATTTACAAATTTACTTCTTTTTCCTAATGATAATTGAAACAATTATTTCATTCATATTAATTTTCAGGGCATGCAAATGCACCGGCAGATGATCAGCCAGCGCTTGTCAACCATGGACCAGGGTCACTCCTTCTTATCCCGCCAGAGACAGGCATCCACCCGACGTGTACCAATGGGCAGCAATTTGGCCAACAGGTTGGACATATTTACTTGCTAAATAAAAAATTAAATGTGCAAATTTAGTGGAGCATAGCAGAAGATATTAGGCAATACAAATGTAGTGTTTTAAGGAGAGGTGCGTGAGGCACAAGTCCTTGTAAAAATGCAAAAGTTGTAGTGTAACTCAAGTAACTAATAATGCCCTGCATTGTATGTATAGGTAGAATGCATTTAGGATGCAGTATACTGTACATACACACGTGTTAAAAATATGGAAGCTGGTGATGTCTTTTACAAGAGTTTTTACTTAGTTATTATATAAATTATAAAATTTGACTAAGGAGTTAACTAAAATAATTAGTTTTGACTAATTCAGTTATCTTAATCAGTTTAAGAAGCTTGAATGAGGAAAGGTGAGGTCTACTCTTACATATTAATGTATAAAATTCACTATATGCTGTATGTATAATCAACATTCTGTGAAGTTTGCGAGAGTTCATAAAATACATATACAGTATGTTACACGTGTATTGGTGATATCGCTTTTTCGTCAATATTTTGAATGCACTTATTAAGTTGCCTTGAGTAATGTCATATACTGTATTAAGTTTCATCAAATTAATTCTCAGTAGTGCTTTTAAGATTAAATTATTTTGCATAGCAAAACACACACAATCCCAGTTCCCCCAGTTATATACGCTTGCGCTTTAATAATGATCCAAGTATTTGCAGTTATAAGTTATCATGCATGGCCTGAATCTGTGTGAACTTTGTGAACTCGCTCACTATATATTTTCAATGCTATAATATAACATTAGTAATTGTATTTACAGATTTAGATTTTTATCATCTAACTAAGCTCTTAAACAGATTTCTATTTAATATTCTGGGAGGACATCTTCCCCCTCAGTAGCTCCCTGGAACCTTAGCACTGGTATAGATAAACCTACAGAATAGCTCCGGGCCTCTGATGCACAGGACGAGGTTCTGGCACTTCACAAGGCAAGGTGGGATCTTGATCATAAATTGACCCAAAACTTAGAAAACCGACCAGAAAGCTTAAGCAGAACCAAATAAGTGACTGCTTGATAGAGCTTGAGCTCTGGGGGGCAAAGAAGGAAATGGATCATTACCTTCACACCTTAACCTTCATACGTTTGGCTAAAATCAGATGGTGAACCAGGCCACTTGCATGCCTGGAGTTGTACAAATCGAGCCTCACTGTTGGGACCTGCTCTACTCCTTCCTGATTCAGAACATGGTTTTGACTATCTCTAGGACCTCTGTTTTGCAAAATACCATTGCTTTGTTTTCTTCTTGTGGAGCCCCCTGTGACTTTCTGAAGTTATCTTGCAGAGATTGCTCTAAGCTAATGAGTTACATCAGTCGTGAAAGTTCTGTTTGGCCTACCTAAGACCAGAGCCAAAACCTCGGCCCCTCTGAAAGGCATAGGGAATGAGTGACAATTCACCACCACACTGGAAGGCATCCAGAAAGTATGCAAAGCTTTACAGACAGCTGGATAAATCACAGAAAATAAAGCCTCAAAATCTATTCATTTACAACAAGGGATTCACTCAAACTAGATAAGAACTCGTTAGTACCAATCTTTACTTCTAGGCAGCCCGGCCCCTACCCTCGGCCAGTTCCAAATGTTGGTTTTTTTGCTAGTATTATGATGCGAGATGTCCTAACTTCCCAATACTCTCTCTCTCGTGTGATGTTTTGAAACTACTGATGGTTTTGGTATTCACTCCTTTCTCACTTGTTTTCAACTATCTGTAGTCATTAAGACGAGATCTTTCAAGGGAAGACAGAGAAAACCTAAAACTAAACCCTAAGGAAGTAAAATTCTAAATGAGGTAGGAATGAAGAAGAATTTTTTTTCCGCAAGATGATATGGGTAGGGAAGCCTGTGAAATAGTACATTAAAACAAACCAACAAAATCTTTAGAGGAAGAGAAAGTGAAGGTCAAAGGGTGTAGGAACATAGTGTTTGAAAATTGTATATACTAACATAGATGGAGTGAGGTCAAAAACACAGAGCTTAGTGATAAATACACCTGAAGATGCTATTGATTGTTGTTATAACAGAGTGGAATTTGAAGATAATATTTTAAATGATGTCAAATTTGAAAGGGGCTACTCATTTCATGAGGCATAGATGCACAAAACTACAGCTGTGTGCTGTGAATGTCTACCTTGCACTGTGACCATCATAACCAGCGTTGTGTTCATATCTGAACCTTATATACATGGTCTTCATCACAGTTAGGATCTTCTATGATACTATCATTGCAAAATATTTGTAGTTATTTATTTATTTCTTCATAATTAAGTGATGCTATGGGCACAAGCTGCTCAGCAGTGCTGTTGAGTTGCTGCAATATGTGCTGCCTCAGTCACCATCTCAATAATGAGGTCCTCACAGCCAATTTGTTGCCTACAATTTGTTTTCCCCAAGATGGTGTCTGTTTACTGGAGGCCCGAGGGACCAAATGTGAGCCCGGTGTATGTGCAAGACTTTTTCAATATTATTTTAAATCTTTAATCTCATTGACGCGCAGTAGGGTTGGATGTTCTGTGATCGTCTCTGTTTGACACACATTTCAAGGGTTTAATTAGACCTGTATCATTGACAAACATGGTAGTCAAAACACTATACAAAATAATTGAAACCAAATAGACAAATCTCCTGGAGAGAAATTATATAATAGAGTATGGTTTTTGAGTACATTGCATTTTAGAGTGCACAGAAATCGTCCTGATCAAAAACCATTCAGTTTTTTATCAGAAGATAGAAAAATGAGGACAGTAACTGGAGGCTATGTATCAGACTGGAGAAATGTTATAAGTGGAGTACCACAGGGTTCATTTCTAGCACCAATAATGTTCATTGACTGCATAAAGGATCTGTCAGAAGGAATACAAAAAATATGAACATGTTTGCTGATTTTCATGCCCTTCATGAAGACCTGGACAAAATAAGTATAGAGCAACACTTAACAAATGAAATTTAATGCAAATAAATGCCATGTTATGGAATGTGGAAAAGGAGAAAATAGGTCACACACAACCTGCAAAATATATGAAAAACCTTTAAAGAATTCTGATAAAGGAGGAAATCTAGGGGGCGGTTCAGGATAGAAAGCTGTCACCTTAGGACCACATAAAGAATATTGCACATGGAATTTATTCTATGCTTTCCAACTTTAGAATCATTCTTAAATACTGTACATGAATGGCAAAATATTAAAGAAATTGTTCATGTCCTCTGTAAGAACAAAGTTGAAATATGCAGCAGTTGTATAGTGACATATCTCGAGAAGCTCATCAGTAAAGTGGAAAAAGTGCAAAGACGCGCATCTAAATGGCTGCTGTAACTGAGAAACAACTGCTATGAGGAGACACCAGAGGTGCTAAATATACCAAAGCTAGAAAATAGAAGTAAAAGAGGTGATATGATCACAACATACAAAACAGTAACAGAAATCACCAAAATTTACAAAGAAGAATTCTTGAAAACTTCAACTTTAAGAACAAGAGGTCATAGATTCAAACTATGTAAACAAAACTGCTAAAAACACATTAAGTAAAGTACACTTTTGTAAACAGAGTGGTAGATGATTGAATCAAATTAAATGATAAGGTGGTGGAAGCCAAAACCTTCAATAGTTTCAAAGTGTCATATGATAAAGGGCACTGGGAAGATGGGACACCATGAGCATAGATTTTATCCTGTAACTACTTAGCTATTTACTGACAGGTGAGGTGGGTCTCCACGTGCAGAACTTGTCTAGTGCTCGAATACAGCCACAATAAAAATATTAGGATTATTTCCACTTTCCCTTACATTTTTCATCCAAATTAATGGATTTGGAAAAAAATTGTTTTTAACACAAATCTAAATCAAATCCTATATATCGAGGGTTAATACAACTGTTTGGAGAAATTATTTTCCTCTGAGGAAAACAAGGCAAATGATCATTGCTGCTGGGTATATACCCCCAGCTGTGATGCACCCCGATCACCATTCGATGGCAGGTTAGGTCACCTGTGGTCCCCGTCAGCCACCCACCTCATATACTCAGGTGGGCCTACATTCAGCTTCACGTTTCCAGATGAATGGTGTTAGCTATCCTTGGAACATTTTATTCCATTGCTTTGCTTTTGTTTCATTTGCTGCTTTACAGTTGTTTTGTGTCACCTTCCCCCTGTGTATGCCCTGTGTTTACATTTTGCTCCAGCTGTGATATGGGAGTTATCTTTCCTTGTGGCATGCTTGCATCTCTCTCACCCTACCAGTATTATGTTATCTGTGGGAATAGAGTTTCCTCCTCTTTGAGTTTATTCCTCTTGAGTCATCTCACTCCAGGTAGTGTAGGGGTTTGCTCACCCACTGCAAAGCCTGTTGATGGGAAGCTGTGTGCTTGTGTGGCTAGTATGCCTGGCTTTGTCTTGTGTGTGGTCAGACCTGCTCTTTAGTTGAGGGTATGTTTGGGTCATGCAAGTGGTTGTGGTTACATATGCCCTCCCTTGCCAGGTGGTTTAGATTAGGGGTCGGTGTTTCTTCATTCAAGATGCTTTCTCTGCTCCTAGCCTACCTGCTTATCTCTTGATGGTCCAGGTGACCTGTATCTCTCACACCAAATTTTTTTTTCAATTCCATGTGTTTGAGCAGCTGTTATGACTGCATTGTTTGCCTCCATTCCTAACACTGCTGAGTGCAATGCGATGTTCTTGGACTCCAATAGTAATGTTGCTGCCTCCATCATTCGGCCTGTTGAGCTTAGAAGTCTATTTACTGTTTGCTGGCATTGGGCTTGTGTGCTAGTTGAGCTATTTTGTTGGCCAGTGGCTTATCAGGCTTCAGCTGCATTGCAGGATGTTTTGAGTTGCATATATTTTCTGGTATGTTTTCTTGGGAGATTTCGGGTGGCTTTCAGATCCCCCAGCTCCCCTTCGCCTAATAAAGAGAACGAGATTCTGGTCCCTGACTTCCAGAGGGTGCAGGTGGTCTCAGAGGTTCAGTGTAATTTCCAAATTCTTGGCAGCCCCAATGCTTTAGATATGAAGAGTCTTTGAGTGGCCCACCAGAAAAGGGCATTTCATTTCATTCAACTCATGATTTATTACATCAGCTTGTCATTAAATATCATGCAGCAGCTAAATAACTGTTTCAAAGTGAATTACATTGAATTTTAACAGTAATATTGTGTTATATCAAACACAAGTCAGGTTTGGATAATTACAGCCAAATTAGAGCAGTGCATTTTTTGAAGTTATTTAATAGTTACTAATACAGTATATTCATAAAGTATTTTAAGCTTATGCATGTCAAAAGGAATGATCAGCAATATCTTAACACTCTACAATGTAAGGCATCAGACAGTAGGAATTTGCAATGTAAGGCATCATACAATAGGAATGTGCAATGTAAGGCATCATACAATAGGAATGTGCAATGTAAGGCATCATACAATAGGAATGTGCAATGTAAGGCATCATACAGTAGGAATGTGCAATGTAAGGCATCATACAGTAGGAATGTGCAATGTAAGGCATCATACAATAGGAATGTGCAATGTAAGGCATCATACAGTAGGAATGTGCAATGTAAGGCATCAGACAGTAGGAATGTGCAATGTAGGGCATCATACAGTAGGAATTTACTGTTCGGATTATTTAAGAATCTTGTTCAATTCACAAATTCACCTGTGTTCATTAGGGGGCTTTTCAGTGTTCAGATCTATGACTAGCAAACCTTATTATAGGAGAGAAGACTCCACTATATACATATTGCATAGCAGATATTTTGTTGATTTGCTTATTTGTGCAGAAATAATATATTAGTTCTAATTTAAAAGTTTTTGAAGCAGTTGTTTGTGTAGAGATTTTCAATGTAATAATAGAGTACAGGTATAATAAATCATAGATATTTATTCATGTGTATTAAGCTACTGTATAGTGTATATCATGATGTTAACCCCTGTTTTTGTGAATGTTTCAGTGAATTTTATGACTATTAGCGGCATCGATTGTGTGGTTTCTGCCTCATCCCCTGCATGGTTAGTAACCTGTGCTTGGCAACCTTGCTTGATCCATATGTTTATATGTATGTGCATGAGAATGCTTGCACTGTATGTATACATGTATGATATGGTATACCATATAAATAAATTAGCTTTAATAACAGTGGTCCAAAATGGTTATCCATGTGAGAAAAAACCTTATTTGAGAAAAAGCTTCTGTATACATAAATAAATAATGGTGCAGACCACACACTAGAAGGTGAAGGGACGATGACGTTTCGGTCCATCCTGGACCATTCTCAAGTCGATTGTCAAGTCACAATCGACTTGAGAATGGTACAGGACGAACTGAAACGTCGTCGTCCCTTCACCTTCTAGTGTGTGGTCTGGTCAACTTACTTAGCCACGTTATTGTGACTCATCGCCTGCAAATAATGGTGCAGCCTGTCTTGAACAACAAATGCAAAGCTAGCAAAAACTAAAAAACAAATAAGAAAACTAAAATAAATTATGAAATTCATATAGGACAGTAGGTAAAGACATATTTAAGGATGTTGTCAGGTATGTCAAACAAAGATTAGGGAGAAGAATGGACCATTGAAAATCAAGCCAATGAGTGTAATGAAGTAAGGGCGAAGAGGGACAACGGCCTATTGACATAGCTCGAGTGCAGGGGGGAGTTGTGTAAAAGCCTGGTTTGTGCCTCGGAGAGGCTGCACGATCCAGTAAGTTCAGTAGAACTTCGGTTTCAACTCCTTTTACCATGTCGTAGCTCAGTCGATTAAGGCAGCGTCTGGGATGCTCTTGGACGCAGGTTCGAATCCTCGTCACGGCCCTTGTGGATTTGTTCATTTGATGCATCACGCAATTGTGATTTCTGTGTGCAGTGTAGTGTAAGAAATGAGTGAAATACAGAGGCTTCAGTACAATTCTATCTTCAGTGAACCTCTGAACATATTGAACATCAGTGATGCAGATGATGAGTCACAATAACGTAGCTGAAGATACAACGACTAGATCACACATGAGAAGATGGTCCAGGATGGACCGAAACATTGTTGTCGCCTCATCTTCTGGTGTGTGGTTTAGTCTCCAAGGTTAATGATCCATAGAAATTCCTTGATTGTGACACCACCCAGGCCTGACATCTGAGTGGACAACACTTAGGATTTGTACTCCTAAGGTTCCGGGTTCGATCCCCGGCGGAGGTGGAAACATATGGGTAGAGTTTCTTTTGCCCTGATGCTCCTGTTCATCTAGCAGTAATGATAAACTGATAATTGTAATAGGTGGGCCTACAGCCCACCAGCAAGCAACACATTGACAAAGGAAGTCATGAGAGAGATTATAGTAAATGCAGATAAAGATAAATCACAGTTGTTGTTACTAGGGGACTTCAACTTTAAAGCAATAGACTGGGAGGCCTATGGGGCTAGAATAGAGGACATTTGGACAGGCAGATTTTTAAACCTCACTCTGGATACATTTGTGTATCAACTCGTCAAGCAGGCCACAAGAATGAGGGAAGGGAATGTTCCGTCGGTACTGGATCTAATATTCACTAGGAAATATGAGATATTTGACATCCAGTACCTTCCTCCCTTGGGAAAGAGTGATCATGTCCTGTTGGACATTACATACACTTTGAGATATAATTGAGAAGAAAATGGAGACATTGAAACAGTTGTTAAACTCGATTTCAAGTGAGGACACTATGGGGCCCTTAGAAAATTTTTTGCTAGGCAAGGAAGTAAATAAAATGTATGCCAAATTTTGCAAAATATATGATGGAGGCACGCAAACATTCATACCAAATCAGAGAGGGAAATCCAGGAAACAGGATTGGTTCAACAGAAATTGCAAGAGGGCCAGAGACCAAAAGAGGCAAAAATGGAATCAATATAGGAAGAGGCCAAACCCCCAAACATACCAGCGATACAAAGATGCAAGAAACAACTACACGGCAGTGAGGAGAGAAGCAGAAAGAAATTTTGAAAAAGTGATTGCGAACAAATGTAAAACAGAACCAGGCCTATTCTATAAATTCATAAACAACAAATTGCAGGTAAAGGATAATATTCAAGAGGTTGAAAATGGGAAACAGATTCACGGAAAATGAAAAGGAAATGTGTGAAACATTAAATAAAAAGTTCCAGTGTGTGTTTGTACAAAATGAAATCTTCAAGGAACCAGACATAATAAGAATTCCAGAGGACAGCTTAGAGCACATAGTGGTGTCTAGAGATGAAGTGAAAAATTACTCAAGGAGCTATGTAAGAACAAAGCAGTTAGCCCAGATGGAGTTTCACCATGAGTTCTGAGAGAGAGTGCAACTGAGCTCAGCATTCCACTTCAACTGATTTTTCAGTCATCCCTGTATACAGGCATCATAGCAGATGTGTGGAAAAAGGTTAACATAGTTCCAATCTACAAAAGTGGTAGCAGAGAAGACCCCCTAAATTATAGGCCTGTATCATTGACAAATGTAATTGTCAAAATATTGGAAAAAATAATTAAAACTAAATGGGTAGAATACCTGGAGAAAAATGATATAGTCAGTCAGTATGGTTTTCGATCTGGGAGATCCTGTATGACGAATTTACTCAATTTCTATGATCGAGCCACAGAGATTTTACAGGAAAGAGATGATTGATTTGACTGCATCTATCTGGACCTAAAAAAAAAGGGCTTTCGACAGAGTTCCACATACGAGGTTGTTCTGGAAACTGGAACATATTGGAGGGGCGACAGATAAGCAGCTAACATGGATGAAAAATTTTCTGATAGAAAAAGGAGGACAGTAATCAGAGGCAATGTATTGGACTTGAGGAATGTCACAACTGGAGTACCACAGGGTTCGGCTCTTACACTGGTAATGTTCATTGTCTACATAAACAATCTACCAGATGGATTACAGAATTATATGAACATGTTTGCTGATGATGCTAAGATAATAGGAAAGATAAAGTAAGATGATTGTCATTCCCTTCAAGAAAACCTAGACAAAATAAGTATATAGAGCACTACTTGGCAAATGGAATTTAATATGAATAAATGCCATGTTATGGAATGTGGAATAGAACATAGACCCCATACAAGAGAATCTTCAAGAGAAAACTAGATAGTTTTCTCCATGGAATGCCGGACCAACCGGGCTGTGGTGGGTATGTGGGCCTGCGGGCTGCTGCAAGCAACAGCTTAGTAGACCACACTCTCACAAGTCAAGCCTAGCCTCGGGTCGGGCTTGGGGAGTAGAAGAACTCCCAGAACTCCATCAAGCAGGTAACCTATAAATTATGTGAGAAATCTTTAAAGAATTCTGATAAAGAAAGAGATCTAGGGGTGGTACTAGATAGAAAGCTATCACCTGAGGACCACATAAAGAACATTGTGCAAGGAGCCTATGCCACGCTTTCTAACTTCCGAATTACTTTTAAATACATGGATGGAAAATACTCAAGAAATTGTTCATGACTTTTGTTAGATCAAAGCTGGAATATGCAGTGGTTGTATGGTGCCCATATTTTAAGAAGCACATCAACAAACTGGAAAAGTTGCAAAAACATGCCACTAAGTGGCTCCCAGAACTCAAGGACAAGAGCTACAAGAAGAGGTTAGAGGCATTAAATATACCAAAACTAGAAGATAGAAGAAAAACAGGCAATATGATCATTATGTACAAAATAGTAACAGGAATCAATAAACTTGATAGGGAAGAATTCCTGAGACCTGGAATTTAAAGAACAAGAAGTCATAGATTTAAACTAACTAAACAAAGCTGCCAAAGAAATATGAGAAAATTCACTTTTGCAAACAGAGTGGTAGATGGTTGGAACAAGTTAGGTGAGAAGGTGGTGGAGGCCAAAACCGTCAGTAATTTCAAAGCGTTATATAACAGAGTGCTGGGAAGACGGGACACCACGAGCGTAGCTCTCATCCTGTAACTACACTTAGGTAATTACACGTGAGCTTGTTGGATTGTTTCAAGTGTAGGTTATACTTGCAGTATATATGAGTGAATTTGGATGTAAATAGGAGCTGCCTCATATGAGGCAATAGTCCTTCTGCATTAGCTTTTATTTTTGTCCTTGCTTCCTTTGCCCATTCCTTATATTTACTCATGTATTAGTTTTTTGAGCATTTGTTATTCACATCCCCTTCTTCTACAATGTGCTATAGCTATCTTCAGTGTTCGTTTGTCAAAAACTATTTCTTATATTTCTTGTGAAGACTTTGCCAGTTTGAGTTTATATCCTGTGGTCCAGCCTGTGTTGTGTGTCAAAATAACTGCCATTTTCTTCTTTCGTACAGAAGTCGACTTAAATTTTGTTAATTTTTCTAAACTGTATATCTTTCAGCTCTAGTACACAATAGTATGCATCTAGATTCTTACTAATTTGTTGATGCCTTTCCTGAGGTGATTACACCACAACATTGCTGTATATTCTACCTTTCGTCTCGTGACTTGTTCATAATTTTTTTGGATTTCACCTTCCATATCTAATATAATGCCAGCTTCAAGTTGGCCACATTACAGGCGCTAAAGGCTGTCAATTGCATGACTTTCTGGTTATTTTGTCATTTCTAGGATGTCTTTATTACATTGTTACCAAACCAGTGTTATCCTCCTTGCTCTCACTGTGCTCCTTAGAAGGTGCCTTTCTACAATGAATTTCATTGACCATTATTCACTATTTTAACATCTTATCAAAGTCTTCTTTTAAGTAGTTTGCAGTTTTCTTGATTCGCTATTTGTCCTAGTATCCTGGCATCATCAGTTAACATGGGTGTATAGCTTCATATGCCACTGTGAGTAGAATGCATAATCATTTAACAGTTGATATATCTATGGAAACAGTGATTATATCACTGTACACACTGAATTCTTGGAAGCTGCAGCTGTTGATCATAGTAGGTATATGCAGAAATCGTTTTCCATTGTTTGGGCCAACAAGCCTGTTAAGTCTACTGAGGTCTCCATAGGCCTATGACTGACATTCTCCAGTGGGGAATGCAACGCACAACAGCTCATCAGG